CCCCAAAACCCCAAAACCCCAAAACCCCAAAACCCCAAAATTCAAAAGTATGATTGAAATAAAATTTTGTTAGTAATGGAAGGGATTGATGAATTTCCGTATGGCAACATTCAGAGAAAGAAAGGAGTAAGTCCTACAAGTCTCTGTTCTCGTTTGAGAGTTATTAAAAGTACTATAAATACTTATTTCCCTAACTTTGATCCCATAGCTATCATTTCATCAGAAGATGAGACCACGGTTTAATATGGACAAAGCAAAGCCTTCGAAATTATGCATCAGTGGTCTTTCTCCTAATGATTTCAGCGTAAGTTTCTTGAGCCAAATTTAGGATTCTTCTTCAATTACCAAGACATGAGAAAGTAAGTTGAGGGATTATTGTCATAAATTAGCCAAAATCTCTTTGATCATTATGATGAAAGCTCTTGTTTTTAATTCCTAAATTCGTAAATAAACATGCGAGAATTCCTCTGAACCAATGTTTTATGAGATAATTCTTAAATTACAGAAGCATATATGAGAGGTTTTGACCCAAGGGAGGGCTAATGCACATTTGTCAGCATTGGCTTGACCTCTCTATTTATCTCTCATTTTCGCCTAAATATAACCAAGAATTACTCAATTTTATATTCTAAAATTTATGTAAAACAGGTGAAGTCATCCAAGAATGATGAAAAGAGTAACTAAAATGATCCCTTTATTGATATTTTATAATCCATTATTGAGATTTCATATCTTTTTATAATGTGGAAACTCATTTTACACGAAATCTCTTCTTGAGATATCCAAATTCTGACTAAATATTTAAATTTGTTCAACATATTTTACTCGAAATTCACACATGTGTTAGGAAAATGCAACATTTCTGGAAGGAATTAGGGCTTAACCCTTGGATGCTCTTTTCAAGTTGGATATTTCAACATATGAGGAACCTGTTTTCTCTAAAATTTTAGGCTGATTTCGAAGTGAAAATAAGTTGGAGAAGTTGACTTAAAGGGGAGTTTGAAATTTTCATAACTCATTAAATAGTTCTTCACAATATTTATCTGAAGAATTTTACATCAAAAGTGAGACTCAAAGGGTCCTTATTGACTGAACTGAGAAATCCAGTATTTAGTGATTTCTACATTTTCAGCGTGCTAATTCCACTAGATTCTAAATCATGACGAGTAAAACATTTGCATTGTTTAACATTCTAATCCTTAATTTTAGAAAAATAGCAGCCATGCGTTACACAAAGGCAGAGAGCGGTCAATTTCAAATGTAGTGAAAGAGCCGAAAGTGTAATCAATTTTAAGATATTTTATAGTAGGTCTCGAATGTTTTCGTCTTCAAAAGATGTCTCCAATGTGGATAAGGAGTCCATCTCCAAATCTAAGGGTTGCAGTCCTAAGGTGAAGCGAGGTATGGTTTATAATTATCAGTTATAGTTCACAGAGTAGACAGTATCTCGAAAGATTCATACTGGAGTAAAGACTCTGAGCAAAATGATAGCGATGAATATGATTCAGCGCTGTCTACTATCAAGGATTTCTTCCCCACTAGAAGAAAAAATTCTGATGAGAGACGCTTCAGTGGGTTGAAGTAAGTAGTTATGATGCTAGAGTTTAGGAGCAGCCAGAGGCTTCCATCCCCGCCCTCAATTAAGGTACCTCTGTTCTAATATATGTAGAATATGAGAAGAAATTCGATACAGAAAGCAATGAATATACCTGAATTAAATCCAATTCTTATTTTCAAAAAGGAGTTAATCAAGAAACTGAGGGAGCAAAATCCTAAAGTTAACCCGGTAACAGGACAGGATGCTACAAATGCCATTTTAGTACGAGCTTTCAAGAACATGGGGATTCACTTAAGTGTTGTTGGGTCAATGCAAGCACTGCTTGAGACCAAGCCTAAGAGAATTCCTAATCTAGAGCCTTCAAGTAATAACTATATTTAACCAATTAGATGGCAGGATGGGATTTATTCAGCTTAATTTAACCCAGAGTATCACCAAATTTTACAAAGTTTAGAAAAACCTAAAGCTTGGGTGGACAATTTGATCGATTGGTGAATGGAGAATGACAGGGTCAACTACCAGGTTGATTACATCCTTGAAAGCATCATAAAGCAGAAACAAGAGAGGAATAAATAAAATTCTCAAGCAAAGGAAAAATGACAAAATTTGAAGTAAGTAACTTCTCCAAGTCGCTGGAATTGGACAAATCTCAAGTAAATTTTGGTCGTTTAGACTCAATCACGCCTCATACAGATTCGAGAAATCTCACTGAGACTGTAAGCTTGATGTAACAGGTTAGAATCTAAACCCAACCAGGAGAGATAGCTTAGCAGAAAAGAACAAGGGAATCTCACAAATGATGAGTATAGTAAGAAATAAGTCTAACTATAGATCCAAACTCCTCAGAAAATTATCAAGTAATCTATTCTCTTAAATGCAGAAGAAAGGGAGATTTCTCACAAACTATCGAATTCAAAGTTGCAGCACACAAGAGCTTAGTGGATATCAAGAATTCTCACCAACTCAGCAAGGTTAGTAAACTTTGGCTGATAAATAGCACCTTCGGAGTAAAATCGATAATTACTACCAAAAATCCTCAAAATAACCAAAGAATGTCAAAATCCATCGAGGATGCCAAAAAGCGCCTCAAAGCAAAGTAAGCCCCTCTATCCAACCCCTTATAGGTACAAACAAAAAATCACTCACGAGAAACACCAACTAAAAGAGTTCTACAAGTCTAACTGTCATCATCCCCGCTCAAACATCGCTCATGCAGAGAACCTGCACAATCTGCTTCGCTCCACTCGCCCTCGGTCACACAGAAGAGCCAGCAGCAAAGAAGACCAGCACCCTTACCTTGAAGGAGGAATGCCTCCAGTCAAGCTCAGTAAGAAGCAGATGAAGAGGATCATGGAGATAGGGGAGGAAAGCAGGTTCGGCTATATCAAAATATTTTAAACGCTAGTTTTAGAACCATAAGTTCAGTATTCTCAGTTTTTTCAACTTTTTTAGTTGAGAAAGGGGTTTTGGGGTTTTGGGGTTTTGGGGTTTTGGGG